GGGAGAGATGCCCAGTCTCTGTGTTATCTTCACCTCCTGTAACTAAAGCTATTGCACTGCCGGCTGCCCTGTGTGATCATTATGGTGTCTCCATGTGCGTCTTTAACACCAGGATCATTAAGTTTTTCACTGGTGGGACCATGTCTTATTTAAATCTGTCACCCTCCTTTTAATCAGAGGGCCTGGCTCCACGTCAATGAGCATTTGTTTAATAAGAATCATTGCCCGGTTGTCATGAGAATCTTCTTAACCCTTAGAATGGGAATGAAAGGAAAACTAGGGTGGCTATGTCAGTCCCTGGCAATCCCTCCGGGTTGTGACAGCTGGAGAAGGCAGAGACTCACTCATATGTGGGTCTGGTCTGGGACCACCCGTACAGGTTGTGCACGTTGTAGTGCTGCACCGGGGAGCCGTCTGGGAGGATCTGCTGACTCTCCATGCACAGGGTCTTGCTGCTCAGACCCCTGTCCCTGGACTCCAAATCTGAGGAGGAAGAACTGGTGAGGTGAAATCCAGCCCTGATTCTGTTTATCCCTGACCTCTCCTCAATGGATTGGACATTGGATCTTAAGACTAACTTGAGTCCTGCCTGTGTCACTCTCCATCTTCCCAGAGACATGAGCACAGAGCCCCCAGCTCTGAGCTGCTATGGCACCTGCAGTGTTTCCAACATCAAGTTCACTGAAGAAAGCGGAGGTGTAAGGAAGAATGTACAGCTGTCGAATACTACATGACAGACTCCTTTATAGGCTTCTGACTTGCCAATTATGTCCATAATTCTATGAAGAAGACATCATTATCTGTCTTTTACAGTTTAGCAAACCAAGATTTGGAAATATCGCATAATCTCTGAAAAGTCACACAACTCCTAAAGAGAACAATTTCTGGAGCCAAGATATGAACCCAAGTATAACTCCAAAGTCCATCAGCTGCATCATAAGGGGAAGCCAGTAATTCCCACCCATTGATGACACAAGAAATTCCTGTGATGGAATTCACACAAGCCGAAAAACTAAGAAACCTAGCTGTGAGGATCCTTTGTGGCATGAGCACTGCTAAGTGCTTTCTGGACAAATTCCAGGAAATTTGTTCAATGAGTCTAGTCACTTGCACATGCCCATCTGGGTAAAGCAAGTGCAGCGTTTTTGTCTCTGGTCCCAAGTAAACCACAGCAACCATGAGGATGTGCCCTGAGCTGTGCAGGCACAACCGTGGCCTCTGGGCTCCTCCAGTGGCCATCTTTCCAGTCCTAGCTCTGCCAGTCAAGGAGACCAAGGGTTCTTACGTGGCATGTAGGGAGGGCGGTTCAGAGAGGCGTCCCTGCAGCCTGGAGAAACTGCTCCATTCACGAAGCTTGTTGGTTCATTCATATCCTAGAAATGCCAAACACAGACATACCTCACTCTTTAAGATAATTATGTCCAGCCAATTCTGAGCCAAGGAAGCAGTGAATAAATTGTTCAACAGCCAGTAATCCCTGTAGATGCCAGCCCTGGGAACTTCATCAAATCCTGGTGAGAACTGGCTGGAAAGATTAATTCACTCCTACAGAATGACTGGCTAGAGGTTTTAAGAAATAAATCTCTTCCCAGGTGGCTGTGAGGCAATCAAATTTCCAAGAAATTCCTAGCAAATTGCCTCCAGGATTTTTTTTTTTTTTTTCAATTTTTTGAGACGGAGTTTCGCTCTTGTTTCCCAGGCTGGAGTACAATGGTGCGATCTCAGCTCACCGCAACCTCTGCCTCCTACGTTCAAGTGATTCTCCTGCCTCAGCCTCCCAAGTAGCTGGGATTATAGACATACCCCACCACACCCGATTAAGTTTTTATTTTTTTAGAGACAGGGTTTCTCCAAGTTGGTCAGGCTGGTGTCAAACTCCCAACCTCAGGTGATCTGCCCACCTCAGCCTCCCAAAGTACTGGGATTACAGGCGTGAGCCACCACACCGGGTCCAGCCTGAGAGGTTTTACAGTAGGAGCCTTAGGTCCGGTACACGGTCTGAGGGCTATCAGGGATGTCCCACTCCAGAGAGGAGGAAGTGTTTGATATGTCCAAAGTCTTCCTTGGACAATGACTATCCTCTTGATTGAAGGTCAGTGGTCCATATACTCAGGCACACAAAGATAGACAAGTGCCACAGGTACACACACACACTTACAATCCACAGGCCATCAAACTTCAAGCTCCTCTCTGGATTCTGTGGATTGTTATATAGTTCTTCTATTTCCCTCTTCCACCACTTGGCAGTTGAATTACGGAAAAAGTCTGGGAAGGCCACGTAAGCTCGATATAGCTGTAAAATATAAATATAATTTATGTGTCCCACACAAACATATAAGGCAGCAAACAGGCACTTACTGAGAACACAACTCACACAGATACCTGAACTGCATGGTGACAGACGGCCTGAACAGGGACGAAATAATGTTATTAACTTATTAGAGAAATGTAGAATGAGAAGAGAAATTAGTGCAATTTGCACACCTTCCCAGCATTTGGAAAACATCTAAAAACTCTTCTCTTCATATACACATGGTTGACGACAATCAATGACCTGAACTAGTGACCTCATGTAATCGACGCCGAACCCTCAACGTCAGTCCTGCCATTTCCTAAGCACTCCTCAAAGACAAAACCAGGGAGAGACTACAGACATGAGATGCGTGGTAATAGTTAGGAAGAAACACCCAGGGAGTCCCTCCTATGTCATTCCCACTGAGAGAGGGGAGGAAGGAATAAGATTACATTTCAGGATATTCGACCAGTACACCTCAGTGTTTTCTACAATTTCAGAATCACAGGACAACTACGGCTGTTGGAGCATAAATTGAGAGGACTTAAAGAGAATGTATCGACTTCCCCTTATTTCCCTCTTCCCTCAAATAATAAAAGCAGTGTCTTTACTTATCTGAAAGACAGATTCAAGATACAAGTTTTTAACTACATTGTAGATTTTTGAGAGTAGGAAGTTTGTTTTATATTCTTCTGAGTGATATTTATATTGCCCACAATGTTCAGCTTAGAACCTGGTATAAAATATTCAGTATTTAGTAGTGGGTTCACACCACTTAGAAGCAGCAAATAAATATCCATACATTTTAACATACTCATGTTGTTTGTTATGGAACATTATGGTCCTTTGTAGGTCTCAGTAAATAGCTTCCTCTATGCTAATCACACCACTGTAAGAGTTAAAGAACTAAAGAATGCTTGTGAGGAGGGTGGGGGAGGCAACAGAAAGAGGACTTGGGCTAGGGGAGCTCCACTTCTTATACACCACAGATAAAAGGCAGGCAGGAACCCAGATGTCCAGATAAAGGGCAAAAGAAGGAACACAAGAAAACAGAAACAGATCAGCCTGCATGGGTCTGGCTGTCAAGGACGTGAAAAGACAGCGGCTCACATCACGCAGAATCTTGAGAGAAGTAGGCACGCCAGGGATGCCTTTTGTTAAGAAATGGGGGTAGAAACCAGGAAACCCAACAAAGAGAATTTTTCAACAGAAACAGAGAGCTCTAGATCACGCAGGGTTAGAAACAATGGGATGGGTGGGGAATGGAGAATTAGAATAAAGACAGTATCAGCCACATCTGAGTCAGAATTGTATCCCATACGGGGTACACGTGGGAAACCTGGCCAGCCATGACGTATGAACTTCCCTAAGTACTGCTCAGATGACCCCTACCAACTTCATAAAAATGTTCTGCCATTCTCCAAGGTGCTGGCTTTGCCTGCCCATACTCCAGTCTTGCCTTGTGGCTTCTGCCTTCACTTTCTCCAGTCTTCAAACAGTGATGTACCCACCCACACACTGGGCCTCAGGATCACCTAGCAGTCTTCTTGTAGCACATCACATGCTACAAAACGCAATTCATAGATCCCATCACAGACTATTGAATTAAATCACTGGAGCTTTGGACTCAGAAATCTGCTTTTCATAGGCTTCTTGGCTGTTTTCTGCTCAGCGAAGCCAGGCCTGGACATCAGTGGCTTCACCCTCACCAGCCTCGTCAAGTGGGTTTCACTGTTAATAATATAAATATTAGATTGGTGCAAAGGTAATTGCGGTTTTGGAATTAAAAGTAATGGCAAATATTACCTGTGCACCAACCTAACAGTTACAATTATTCTATCTACCAATAATCTCTTATGAGCTACCTAAAAGATTATGTGAATCCCCATATGAGTGTTTCTTATCAGAAACCCAACTGGCATTTGAGGCATAAGATTTTTCGTGGCGAATTCCCTGCAATCAGAGCTACTGGCATCCCTGTCTACTGCCCATTAATGCCACCCGGTGTCCCTGTGATAACCAACACTGCCCTCAGATTTCCAAATGGCCTCAAAGTGGCAGTGTTGCCCCCACTGGCTGATGAACTGTGGGGCTCATAATGTAGTACCTGACTACTTGATAAAAGTCAGGAAGCCAATGACCCTAACTTCTCTGGCTGGGCAGGTTCCTGTGTCCATGTGGGCTGCTTGGACCCCTAAGCTTCAAGTTATTCACTGTGAGAAGTGACGAGAGGACAGGAAGCTAGGTCTTCTCCTTTGAATACTTATCTGATAGATGATAGACAGATAGATAGATATACAGTGGATACAGTAGGTAAACGGATAGATATGATAGATAGATACATAGATAGATAGCTAGAGAGCTAGATAGACAGACAGACAGATATACATAGATAGATACTTGTTCAATACTACATAAAAGGAAAACAGCCTTGAACTGAGTCTGACTCATTCTTGTCAATCTTCAAAACCTGCCCCAGCTTCTGTTTTCTTTGTATTGTTTTACTGAATTTACCAACAGAAAATAAAGACATGGAGTCCAAAAGCCAAGCAACCTGGTCCCAAGCATGTCTCATTTTAAATTGAAAAGAGCAACAGCTGCCAACTGGCTCTGAGATCCAGCAAGTCAGAGACTGACAATAGAGAAGGAGGCATCACAGGCTTGCAGTACCTTCTGCTCTCACTACCCCGTTGGAACTGTCCGAGGTCCCAGCCTCAGGCTCCAGATTTTGGGGTTGTATCTAATATATGTCTTTCCCTCTAGGACTCACCACTTGCCCTGAAAACCAGCTTATCTGGATAAGGCATGAATTTTTAGCCTAACTCTTGCCAGTCACGTTCCTGGTGATGAGTGTTTCTCCTGCACCTCTCTCCGTGGGCTACAATCTTTCATCATGTACAAAGAACCCCCAAAAGAGGTCTTCGCCCTAGGCTTCTGAGTGGCTGCTAACTGAATTTACAACTGCTGGGATTTGTTCCCACAATATGGATATTTCTCTGATTAACACTTGATCCTGAGAGAGTATCTAGACTCCACAACATATACCACATTGCTGACTGCACAGGACAGTTCCTTTGTCCCTTTAATTCCTGGCAGATGTGCTAAAAAAGAGGCCTTTTCTTTGTCTCCTCAGCTCTCCTGTAGGGGTCACACAGGCTACACACGCCCTGCTACAATTCCTGCCCAGATAGAATAACCATTATTGAAGAACAGCTCAAGAGGCAGGGCAAGGTACTTGCTACCCAGGAAGTCCTTGGCCCCACCCTGACAATCCTGCCTGTGGGAACTGTCACAAAAATCGATAGTTAAGCTCAAAGGCTGCCTCAGTTCAGGAGACACACATCTTGGCCAGAGGATGGGGCTGTAGGCTTCCTAGACCTGTAAGGAGCCACGTATTCATTCAAGCAAGAAATGCTTAGTGAATCTGGAAAAAAATTCAGGTCCAGAAGCAAGGCTACCTGGATCCATTATAAGCAACAAACTGTCCCCAGGAGAGAGGAGGTTTTACAATAAGGTTGGAAACTGAGAGGTAAAAGCAAAGTTGAGAAACCCAAGGAAAGATTGGGCTCAGAGGAGGACTTATAAGTGTAAAGATTGGGAACCTGTTCAGGGGGAAAAAAAAGAAAGATATACAAAGAAAAAGACCTAGTCAGT